TTTGCTTTTGGTTTATTTTTAATTATCCATCCATCCATTCATCTATCCAATCATACATCCATCCAGCAATCCATTTATCCATACTAAATAAATATATATGTCTCTTCTACTTACAAAAATCTATGAAAATCTTCTTGAGGTCTCAAATTTTTTTCTTGAAATGCTTACTATTCTAGATTTACAAAAAATGGAACGATTATTTCTCGCTTTTTAATAACTTTCTCAAGCGTGCAAATATTCGTTTTCTACAAATAAAAGGTATTTCAATGGTAAGTTTTTATTCGACTCGCTTAAGCTAATTTCTAAAAATTGAACTTTTTTAAAACCTTTCTGAAAATCATTACAATAAATTTGCAAATAGAGATATATTGATGATTTTATTACTTTCAACAATAATAATATTATTTAATAATTGAAATAAGCAGTTTTAGCATTTATAATCTTAAAGAAATAAGACTTTTTGATAAAAGAAGAGTATTTAATTTTTCTACACTTACAAATTGAAATACCAACATCTTGAAAAAAGCTATTGCAAATATAAATACTAACCAAATTAAAAGAATTTTAAAAATGTGCACGAAAATTGTAAAACATCAAGAAATTCTTCTTCTTACCAGAAAATGAAATTCCAATTAACTTCATTAAGAGTTTATTTGAAAAAGCTGGAGTGGGCTACATCTTATAGAAATATTTAATGCAATGAATTTTTTATCTAAAAATTTAAATAAAAGAAAGCTAAAGAAGGATGTTTTAGAGGGTTTTATAGTGCAATCTGTATATATTACTATACTTTATCCTTGACTAGACTTTTATTAACAGAAGGTCTACTGTATTCTAAGTCGTCATGATAAGCCAATTAATTCTTTTCTAATTGATTTCTCTCTTCCTTTTTCTCACTTGCGTTACTATAATTATTACTTTTCAAAATCTAAAAATTAAAAGTTCTCCTTTTGTGAAATTTTAAACTTTCCTCCGTCAATTTGTTTCCCATTAACGCCAAACTAGCAACCTTTAGCAATTCCTCTTGCGTTTTTGGATTACTGTCATTTGTTCCTTTCTTTCTAATTGTTTAGAATTACGATTCGCTGTGAATTATTATGTATTTAGTAATTTAATTTAATTTTGAATTTATATTTGAAATTTAATTCAATATATTTATCTATTTTTCTTCTACATTTTTTGACGTTGAATTTATTTCATACGGAATTGTTTTTATACATTTTTATTTCATATGAAAGGAAATCTGTTGCGGCGAGGGAGGCGCTCAGAATTTTTAGATGAACTATTATAATTAAATTATTTAAGATATTTCATCTAATAATTTTCGAAGAAGAGAAACGTAATGGTTTTTTTGGGAGGAGAAATTCAATTGAATCTGATCTACCTCCTTTTGCTTTTGCTTTCTGAAGCTAATTCCTCGACAATCGCCTTTTGCTACTGCGTTTGACCTTGTCGCAGTATTTCTTCCTTGAATTCATTTCCATCATTAGCAGTTCCTTCAAGTCTACTCAATACCATAAATTAAATATACCCATGGGAAAGGAATAATGTGTATCATAATCGTCAGAAAATAACGTTAACAATTTATTTGTATTTTTATGCGGGAGAAATATTCATTGGCTTCGTACATTTAATGAGTGTCCAAAACAAAAATGAGCACATTATGAAAAAGGAAGAATAAAAATTAAAATAAATGAAGAACCTAATTTATAAATGACTTATTATAACTTTAATAATGACTAAAGAAAAACAAGTACGAAGAAAATTGAATTATGGCATTTAGTCCTTCCAAATTCGAATAAAGACGTTTACTAGAAATTTTTCCTGTTTTGATAACGATGAATCAGATTTTGATTGAATACCTCTTCCTATTTTTGTATTTTTATATTGTTTTCTGAAATTCTTCTGTTTTGTAAACAATTTGTTTTTTTTTTATCTGGAAATTTTATTATTTTACTAATTTTGATTTTATTTCTTCATGTTTTTATGAATTAGGTTTTAAATGTATTACCTTTTCGAATGTAACTGTTTAACTGTTGACAGCATACCACTAGAAGTGATATTGAGATATTTTTGTTTTTTAAAAAAACCTTTCTGAGGCGGCTGCAATATTTTATATACAGCTCTCTCTCTCTCTTTATATATATATAATTTGTTTCTTATGATTATGCTTACAAAAGTTTTGTCATCACTTAGTTGCGCATATGACGTTTTCAAAATAATTCTTTTTTCTTCGTTCAAAGTATACAAGTAGTCTAAAATATTACCAATTCTACTATTTACTTTTGCATTGAACTTTATATCTTGTTCGTTTGAGCTTTCATAAAATTTACTTGTGAGCATTATAGGATCAGATAACTAGTATGTTTTAATCACAACTCTCAGAAGTAATATAAAATATTACACTTATTTCGTTACGGAAGTGTAAGTAAACTACAATGAATAGATTTTCGACGAAATGTTTATTACCAAACTTTAAGAGTTGATTTTCAATATAGAACTATTTGGAAGTCGGTACAAGTTTATGAATTAACAAAAATAGAAACAAAAGGCTTTTCCCTATTTAGGATATAATGTGCTCCATAAAAAACTGAAAAGTCATTTTTGAGGGTAATGCCACGAAACTTCAAAATTCTTTTGTCACAATACCAAAAGATATGGTCAGCGCTCGATTACTTTAGGGCTGATTAACCTGACCTTACCTGAAAGCAAATTACGTTTATTTAATCAAAGAAAAACTAAAAAATTATTGTTACAAACCATCACCATGAAACAGAATTATCTATATAAAATTAGAAACAAAAAATCGAAATTAATGGAATAACAGAATATATACCTTATTTATATCTCTGAAGGAAAAAAATATTCTTTCTGATGTTTTTATGGAAGTTTAAAATCAATGACATTATTCAATTTCTTTTGCAAATGATATTCTTTAATGCTATTTATTACTTAGTTTCTTCAATACTAAACATGATTGTTCTTCAGTTGTTTACAATGTGTTCTTTTTGTTTTCAGCACTGATTCCATTTACGTAATGAAATGAACATATTCTAGAATAAAAGGTTTGAGATTTATGTCATATTATTAATAGCATTTTTCGTTTAATTATAATGTTGGGTCTTCCCTCTTTTTTTAACTGCCTCGGGTGCTTCGGTGCTTTTTTAACTGCCTCGGATTAACAGCGATTCACAATTAAGTGTAGATGTCGTCCCAGTATTACCCCGTTTAATCGGAAGCCAACAATTACCACACTGATATTTCACTGCTTCCTGATAGAACAGTTAACAAGTAAAATATCTACTTCAATTGAAACATTAATTCATTCTTACGAAGAAGAACAGTATCTTATATGAAATATTCTCAAGCTGTACATTGTACTACTAATGAGCTTGACCAAAAATAAACGAAGCCCTAAAACAAAATACTTTGGATCATTAGCAACTGATACTTAAACACAGAAGTAAAAAAGAATGCGAAGTGACTTCCAAACACAGTATAGTTTACAATACCAAAAAATATAGCTTCAATATTTTATATCAAATGAGAAAAAATAATCTTTAAATTAAAAGTTGTGTTTAAACGATTACCAATCCAGATATTCTATAACATAGTCATATCTTGACTTGAGGATTTAATGCTTGCTGAAGGCCGAAATGTACTTTAAATGAAACTGGTGTTCCCTTAAGAATTTATGTAAAATAGGTTAATCTCTTCATGGACTACGTGTGTTTGGTTACATAAACGTTTGTTGCAAAATCATAAAGATAAAGAAAGATAAATATAGCACTAAACAGACAAAGGAGACAAAAACTTAATTTAATTCTCCTGTAGTTATACGAAGGAGAGTGGACAATAAAAGTGGAAAGTGATATAATATCTTTTTCAAAAAAAAAAAAACATAAGGTAACTGCTTTTCGGCAAGCGTTACTTTTTATCATTTCTTTGTCCCTTAGCACCACTCAACTCTGCTTCAGACTCACTGTAATTCATTTCACTGAAAATTATATCATATGATTTCATATTGTCTATGTTTTAAAAATATTTCTCAAGTTAGGTGCCGTTAATGAACATGGTGTTGTCAATGAAAATGCGCATGCTATAGCTTGCTATTGCTTTACCAGAGCGATATGTTTCCGTAAAATGTTGCATTTTATACAATTTTATATGAATTTGGTAGAATAAAGAGCTAGGATAATGTTTTCTTCTTTCACGCTATGAAGCTAATTCCTCGATAATCGCCTTTTGCTACTACGTTTGACCTTGTCGCAGTATTTCTTCCTTGAATTCATTTCCATCATATTCCAGTAATTCCTTCAAGTCTACGCAATACCATAAATTAAATATACCCATGGGAAAGGAATAATGTGTATCATAATCGCCAGAAAATAACGTTAACAATTTATTTGTATTTTTATGCGGGAGAAATATTCATTGGCTTCGTACATTTAATGAGTGTCCAAAACAAAAAAGAGCACCTTATGAAAAAGGAAGAATAAAAATTAAAATAAATGAAGAACCTAATTTATAAATGACTCATTATAACTTTAATAATGACTAAAGAAAAACACGTACGAAGAAAATTGAATTATGGCATTTAGTCCTTCCAAATTCGAATGAAGACGTTTACTAGAAATTTTTCCTCTTCCTCTGGCCAGTTTGTGACGGAACATTTTCCATGGTTCCTCAGTAAACAACTCTCATTGAATCGGAAGATGACTGAATATGGTAAGTGGAAATACTTTGAATGTGGATGAATAATTTCCATATGCTAATTTGCCTATTTTCTATTGCTATAATTGCTAAAACATTACAATGGTCAAACAACTTTACAATCGAATACTTTCATATGTGTAATGCTCATATTAACTACGCAAAAGCATATAAACCGTTTATTATTATATTTATATAACTCTGCAAATGCTAGGCTTTCTTATGCATCTTGATAATTATTTTATGGTTTGGTTTTAAATATTTAAAAATATATTATAAGAACTTACCAACAGTGTTTAGAACTGAAATGCAGAGAACAGATTTGCGAAGACCCATTTTGTGTATGAAGATGGAAACTGGGAAAAAGAATATTACATACACAACATTCATCAGAAGGCTTGTCCAGTTCACTGCTTCTTGGCTAACATTGTAATAGCATTCTGTTACGCTAGCTATTCCTGTATAAATAGGATACATCATATCGCACAAAAGACTGAGGATACAGAACAGTAAGAGCATCCAGAATCGACGTTTGTATACTTTAATATCCAGTGTTTCATTTTCACAAGTGGTTTGAGGTTCTGCAGCTTTTTTCGGTTCACAGTTTGACATCACTGTTGAGAAAAATCCCCGGGTATTTATAATAGAACTCAAACTACCATAGAAAGGCATAATTTTTTTAAATATGTAATTCTGCTTGTAATGAAAGGGATTGAAGTAGCAGAAAACGCGTATAAAGTTCGACTACTTTAAGCTCGTTATTTTACCTTATTCATTCTTCTCTCATACATATGCATCAACGAAGACAATGATATAGCAGTTTCAAATGTTATAAATGTTCAAGACGTTTCTGTGTGCCAATAATAAAAATGACGAAGAATATTTAGAGATAACAAGGAATAAAATTTCAAATTATTAAAAATTTGGATTATTCATAACAGTTTATTAAGCAAAAAATTAATTCGTGATAAAAAAATCGGTACATAGATCTGAGTTGCATTACCGACGTATCCGAATTTTCGCTCTAATTTATGAAAAATCATATAAATGTAAGCTTATGAACTACTACATAGATATTTATAATAAGATCTACTTCGGAAAAGCAAATTGTGTTCTGATATTATATCTGAATCTCAGAAAGATCAGGTGCCCGAAATTTATTGCGGCCAACAGCCAATCAGTAGGTTTCGGTTGTTGGCTGCATCCTTTGCTCGCTGTACAAGACACAGTACGAGTTTGCCCAGTTCTATCCTAATTTTGATGGAGAGGCATAAGGTAATACACCAGCATAAGAATCGAAGGATCTCCTAACTCTTTTCCTTTACACTCAACCCCTCTCATTGTTAACACTAGAACGGCGGTAGGGGTCATTTTGACCCCTGAACACTTTTGACCGTTGATTACTTTTGTTTTATTGGAAGAAATCGCTTGTAATTTTTTGACTTTTCCTAAATACATAAAAAATACGAGGGCATTTCGAAAAGTAAAGATACACCGTACGCCAGAGGAAAAGAAAAGTTTTGGTGAGCAAGTTGGCAACACAGGTGTTAGCCTTGAACCGTTAGATTTCTCCTCGCGGTTGTTCGGCATTTCAACGTTGATTCTGGTTGGAATAGGTCGTGTTTAAAATGGCTGCGTCGATTCAGAATCCCGCCAAATGCGAAGTGCGCTCCGTCATACGTGTTCTTCATGCAAAAGATCAGCGACCAGCGGATATTCACAAAGAAATTCTTTCTGTTTATAGGAACATTAGGAATCGACAAAATGTAACGAAATGGTGTCGACATTTCTCTGAAGGTAGGACCGATGTTCATGACGAACAAAGAACAGGTCTTCCATCTGTGATCTCTGATGCCCTTCTTCAGAGAACAGAGAAAGTAATTCGTGCGAATACACGTCTCAAATTGAAAGGATTGCATCAGATCATACCGAAAGTGTCAATGACAACTCTTTATGAAGTTGTGACTGTCAAGTTAGGGAACAGGAAATTGTCTGCGCGCTGGGTTCCAACAGGCGGCAAAATTCTATGACTGTGTGATACAAAAGCTTGTGCACCGACTTAACAAATGTTTGGATAACGGGTGTGATTATGTCGAAAAATAATAAATAATCCAGTTAATAAGTAACAGACGTTTTCTAAATAATTGTTTTTTGTAAGGAATGCGAGCCATTGTATCTTTATTTTTCGAAATGCTCTCGTATTTGTAAAAAATTTCTCAACACTCTAGGTTTGTTAGTTTTTGAAATATGGGCATATATTCCTAGAACGGCGGAGGGGATCATTTTGACCCATTTACTTATATCCCTCTTTCTGTTCGAGGCATTGTCAAATAACACATGAGAAACATTACATGATAAGGAATTTTTGTTTGCATTCATACTCTCTCCCAGAGGGATAAAAGCTAGGTGGTCTCACTACTTTGTAATGTCTACATAATTTGTTATTCCTTTGTTTGCAATTATCTATTCGTTTGAAGAAAATACTGCAAGGAAGGTAGATGCAGGGTTTTTCATGCTTGCATTTCTTTTCAGAAATAGTTTATTTTAAAGGTGTATTTTTCCGTTTGTTAGTTAAGCTTACTTTCTGCAGGTGATAACAGTTAGGACAGATAGATTCTTGGTAATCCCAAATCAGTATTTCAGTACATATGAATTTTGCCGTCAAGTTCATTATCACCTTTTCTTTACGCTGTGAGAACCATATGCTAAAATATATTCCCTACCGTTTTCTGACAGTCTGATAACTTTCCTACTTTTTTCAACTTTTACAAAAGTCTAATAAGCGGAAAAGAGGTCTTACGGATGAAGAAATTAAAACCTTGTTGCAAGAGTTATCTGAAAAATAGTCCGACGGAGGTGAAATTCATAATTTTTCTGTAGAAAGTGAAGATGAATTCCAGACACAAACTATTAGTGAGTCCGAAGACAGCGAAGTAAACGAAGAAGAACTCAGCAAAAATAAACGGGCAAAAAACGGATCAGGGTATTTGCAAAACTGTTTTTACTAATAACACTATATGGAATAAAATAAATTCCAAAAATTCCGTCTGCGGCCGCGTTCCTTCTTATAATGTTCTAAAAGAAATAGCAAGACCAACATCTTTTGCAAAGAGTCGTGTTTCTGAGGACAAAGTGTCCAGTGCTTTCAAGCTCTTTATTGATGATGATATCTTGCTGCATATAAAGAAATGTACAGAATGCGAAGCTCATCGGCAACTTTGAAATAAAGACTGGAAGTTATCTCTGGCTGAGTTAGATGCTTTTGTAGCTATATTTTATGTTTGAGTAGTAATAGGATGAAAGGGTTTAGATTTATATTCCTTGTGGTCCGAAGCGTGGGGAATACTATTTTTCAAAGAAACTATATAAAGAGATAGATTCAAAGAAATAAAACGATTTTTAAGGTTCGATGAAATGACAGCAAGATCTACTCGATTTGATAAATTTGCTCTTGCATCAGACATGCGGAACAAATTTATTGAAAACTGCAAAACGTGCTACCGGTCAGAACAAAATATTACAGTCGATGAACAATTATTCCCATCTAAGATAGGTGTAGATTTACACAATATATGCCTAATAAATCTGACAAATGTGGAATAAAATTTTGGTTATCTGTCGACGTTGATATTAAATACCCGTTGAATGCATTTCCTTATTTGGGAAAAGATGAAACAGCAAATCTCAATTATGTTTGTCTGAAAATATTGTCATAAAATTAACCGTGCCACATCTAAATAAAGGGAGAAATAATACCACGGATAACTATTTTACTAACATTAAATTAGCAGAAATGCTAAATAAAAAAATACAACTATGGTCGGCACTATGAAAAAGAACAAAAGAGAAATATGCGCAGTAATCTTTATTCATCGACAATATTGGAACATGATAATATCACATTTATCATATATCCAGGCAAAAGAAACAAAAGCGTTTTTCTCATTATACTGTAAAAACTGAAAACAGTCTCAAGAAGTTGCCCGATTCAATAGCATTTTACTACGCAACACAGTATGGTGTGGATATTCGTGATCAGATGTGCCGAAAATATTCAGTAAAATCGACTTCTAGACGATGGCCTGTAGATATTGTTTTTAATGTTTTGGATAACGCAGCTTTGAACGCCTGGATAATTTATAAAAGTGTAACAGGAAACACCATTAATAGGAGAGATTTTTTACTGAAATTAGGAGAAGAGTTAAGAGTGGTACATATGGCTTCAAAACTCCCAAAGATCCTTCCCGAGTCTTCAGAAAAAACACATGAAAAGAAAATGGATATAAAGAGAAAAGTGTCAAGTACAGAGATGCAATGGAAACGAATCTCAAGAATATTATGCATCTTGTTCCAAATTTGTGTGCGGAAAATGCACTGGAAAAATTTAAAAACTTATATTTGTGTCAACTGCATTAATTCTTAATATGTATATGTAATTTCTAATATTTTAAACATTAAATGGATTTGAAACGAAATGTTTTACATACAATGAATGGAAATTCAGTTACACATATAATGAAATAACTGAAACATCAGAGGATTCTGGATTTCTGGATTTAGAGAGTAAATCATCCTCCGAGTAAGTACATAAAAATATTATTATATAAATCGTGCTTTATTTTAGTGAACATTAGTTTTAATTTGTGAAACCATTTATTTTAAATCAATTCTTATATAAATTAATGAGTTATTTGAGTAATTGTAGTATGATCCAATTGATCGCTATGTGCTCGATACATTTACAGTATTTTAAAAAGTAAACAAATTATCAGGTGATATTAAATATAAATTATGAAATACATAGTACATATTTGTGCCAATGTATGGCATTTAAAATTGTTTTACCGTTGTTATTTCAGTACTTTCATCGAAGGGTCAACCGCCGTTCCAGTAGGCAAGATTTTCCCGCCGTTCTAGTGTTAATTGAACATATCTGAGAAGTATTAGGATACTGGTTACGGTAATTTTGAAATTTACTGAGGAATTATGGAATATCTGCAAGCAAATTACGCCAAACAGCATTCGAGGCTTGCATGAGTCAAAGCCAGACCGAATATTCTTATGCATTACAACCAAAACCGACTAAATATCATACTAATAAGTAAAGTTTCTCGAACTATCTGTAGCAAGCGGATTAATTACTACTCAGTTTTAATAACCTTTTTTTATCTTTGTAGTCTTTCTTCAGCTCGTATCAAATTTCATTATGAGTGAGCAATTTTTCTGAGCATAGACTACGTACAATGAAAACTCGGTTCAGAAATTTAATTCTTTGATGGAGATCATTTTTCAATCGAAAAGTTCGTAAACTGAAATAATGTCTTCCTTAGGCATTGAAGTATAATGTATTAATTCGTCTCTGGAGTAAAGATGATTGTTGATTGAAGTTTCACAAGATAACTTTGTGCTTTGAAATTATAAGCCAAAATCAATATATATATAAACGGATAAAATAGACGAGAATTTAATTTACTTTTACTATACCTGTACGAAGAAGAGTTGACGTTGTAAGTGAATAACGAGTGGAAGATGTTATTGTTTGCCTGATGATTTTATGGAAAATCTTTTCCATAAAATCATCAGGCAACAAACCGTCTGTAAAAGACATTTTCTTTTATCACTTTATAATCTCTAAGCGACACTTGACTCTTAGTTAGGTTTATTAGGTCTCTATTTCACCCAAAATTGGTCGTGATTTATTGCTGTCTGCATTTTAACATGTTTCTAAAGGGATACATGGCACTGTCATTGAAAATGTTTATGCTGTATTCCTACTGTTTTGTCAGGATATCATATCGTTACGCGAAAACTTTGTATCTTATCTCGTTACGCACAAATATCGAAGATTAGAGAATTATGTTAAACTTTCCTTTTTTCCTCTTCTTCGAAAGATATTTTTTGCAAAATTGCCATTTCTGAAGTTGATATAGTTCTTTCTGTTTAATTCATTTTTAAGCTAGTAAAGATGATTGTTGATAAAGTATACACGTCTTTATTGCTAACTTCCTAGCCCATTTATAAGTCTAGAGATACAATGTACAGAGGCAACAAAAAAACATCTTATATACTCAAAGACTCAAAACTTGAAGTTTGTGAATGCAATCGAATTTCTTCCTTGTGAAATTCTTGGTCTTGTAAGTCAGAAATGGCCAACAGATGTATTCCAAAATAAATTTTCGTCAATCACAGCCAGCAGGAGATCATTTCAAACGAAAATGCGAGACTTGTAGACACAAAAGGTCATGGTTAATTTAGTATTATAAGAGTAATACTATATTAGTGCTTCCAGAAAAATTGTTATAATTATTGCTGTGACAAAATGTATTTACCTTCATGTATATTTCATTTCTATTTTATTACCCATTAAAATGACTAATAAATAAAAAAAATATTGAAGACACAGCATTTTTATGAAAAATGTGAACTTGATTATTTTTTACTATGATGAGTGATAAATGTTGTTGCTTATTATACAATGCCTTACAAGCTGTAACTAAAACAAGTAATTTGGAGAGGCATTTATGTAAGAAATATTAGGCAGATTATCCATAAAATAGTGACTTGAGAAAAAATAAAGTTAGAGACCTTTATTTAAAGCAGAATTCAATAACATGTTTTAAAAATTCCATGTTGAAATCATGTGCAGTGACTATTGCATCATTCAACGTAAGCCATATTTTAGAAACAATGTAAACAACTTTTGACAAAGAATTTATTTAAAGAAAACCTTGGAAAGGTTGGATTCCCTTTTTAATAATTTAAAAAGAAGATTTACAATTATCTCAAAAAATTGTAATGAAGCGGACTGAGAAAATGAGTGAAAGTATCACAAAACAATAATCTAACGACATAACTAGATATTCAAGTTTTTTCCGTCAATATGATGGATCCACAAAGGTAAGTGATCAGCACAATTACCTTGTTATTCATATGTTTTTTTAAAATTATATATCTAAAGGACAATTTTTTAGAATGATTACTTTGGAAGAAAGGAATAGATGTATAAATATATATTCATTATTTTTTAAAACCCTATTCATTTCATTAAAATTAGTTTTACTAACGACAGATAGAGCAGGAATATTGATGTGACGCATAAATGAATGTATAATTTTATGTTAGAAAGATGAATAATTAACAGGTGTTGGAACTACCATTGGATAATTCACCAATAAGTGTTAGCATAATTCACCCAACATTAATGTGCTAATATTTTGTAGTCACCTTACTTAATCTCCTGTTTGGTCTTTCTGTCCGTTCTGCATCTTCGTTCAGTTGATACGCTAATTTTTCGACTTCGTCCTTAATTTTTGCAGACCAGTGTGTATAAATTATATTTCAGGCTTTTCACGTGAATAATAATTTAGATAGTTTAAAAATCTAGAAGCTAGCATAAATTATAGTTTATAACAAAAATGTGGAACATCAGAATCATTATTATTTAAAATAGTTAAGAAGAAATTTAACGAAGCACTTGAACATTAAATAAATATATTTAAGGGGTATAATTTAGAATAATGAAAATGATAAAATCTTCAATCTTCTATAAAAATGCCTAATAGCAGAAAACACCGTTAACAACTTACCGATAGTTTTAAACGCTTAATTTGGAGGACAAGTTCGTTTGATTACGTAAATTAAATCAGCATTCAAAAGAAGAATAATTTCAAAACAGAGGGAATAATCTTATTGTTTATATTAGCCATTTCGATAGGAGTCAATAGTAAACAGCAGATTAATGGCTTTACACTTAAATAAGTTTTGCGATTTAGCAAGTTGTTTTTAATGGATGATTTAACAACGGTTATATATTCCAGATTACATGCAGCTAAATTACGTACTGTTGTGAATAAGAACAATTCCTAAATACTGAAACATCATCTGCAGTAATTGCTGTGATCTCACGCCTTCTTTTCTCCGTTTTATATTTCGCCTAGAAATATTGCGTGCAATAATGGTTTGAGTAGTAATTTTTCCATCGTTCTACAGTAAGCAAACGTAATCCTTTATTTAGAGAAGACCCAATTAATCCGCAAGCCATTTAATCTTTCCCTGGCTAATATCTAGAGTTGACTGTAACAAAAAAATAATCACTTTTGTATTAGCATTTTCTGCGTAATGGTTTTAAATGAAATAATGTGAATTTTGAATCAGTGTGTGCATTTATAAAGTTCAGTTCTAGCTTAGCGTTCATTCAAACCGAAATTTCTGAATATATTTAGAAGGTAAAGTAAGTGTCTCTTTAGTATGACAAAGAATTCGAAAATGCAAAACAAAACAGCAACATCAAGGGAAAACAAAATGCAAAAAACATTATTTATTCTTTAATAAAGAATGTTGTAACAATCTTCAATTAATAAAATAATAATTCTTTAATTAATAAAATAATGTTATAGTGTCTTTAATAAATAATAAAACATTATTTATTCTTCAAAACAATTTGAATTTTTCATTTAAAATGGAGCTAAACAATTACCAAAGTGTTTTTTTTAAAGAATTTCTACATGAATAAATGAAAACTTAATCAATTTTTCCAGAAGTTATTTTCAAGAAAGAAATTTGTTGTAATTGTTCTTCTAATGTAACTACCACGACTCTTCTAATGTACTTACAATGATGCTTCTAAACTGTTCTTCAAATGATTTCTTCTATTGTAACTGAAATTATTTTTCTACACTGTTCTTCAACCGATATCTTCTAATGTAACTGCAGCCTTCTTTATTCTCCTTGTATATCTTTGAAGAAACTGTGTGATCTTCACTGATGAGGTTAGAATTTGCTATTCACAAAACACTTGTCACTTTTTTAAAGTTTATATCAAATCATCAATTATTTTATGCCAAGCTCATTTCCCAAAATGACATCCGTGTTACACAACACATTAAACGTTATTATACTACATAATTTCAGAAAACATGCCTCAGGAAACGATCGAACTTCAAATTTCATTAATAGCCTTGAGAACATTTTTCTTGCTTCTCTTATAGTCGGTTGTCATAAAAACTATTAAGAGTAAAAGAAGAGCAACATTAATGGATAGAAATTTATATGTATATAACTGTTAATAGATTAAATAATTTTAACCAACTTCCTCTTAATTTGAATTATTCTTAATAATTAAACTAAATTATTTTAAATTCTGTCGAATTATTTACAAATATTTCGCTACGTTCACAAATGCTTTTATTTCGCATATTTTCACTTCCTTAAAATGTATGATACCCAGTACACAGCTAGCTAGTCTCCAACGCGATTCTACTAGATTTTAAATGGTTTACAACCTTTGTGAACATTAAGCGATCTAAATCAATTGTTAGACAGTGCTGTTCATAAGCCCGTGAAATATTTTAAATCTTTATATAAAATAAATTACCCGTCTTTTTTTTTTACTGAAATAAGTGATGTTTAGCTATTTGAATACAGAAAAGCACGTATGAGCTATCTGCTTACTGGGAGGGATGCCTTCTTAGAGGACGTTTTAAAGGAAACTGGCTCGCATTCATGCTAAACATGAGGAAAACCACAAAAGCCAAACAAGCAGCCAGACCGGTCTTCTGAGTTCGAACTCAGGACAAACTATCAGTATTCAATAGTCTTAACAACTCGGGGGCCGGTGAGGCTACAACGAAATATAAAGAAATTCACTAAGCTTTTAACATGTTTGAAAATGTTCAATAGATGTGCCTTTGCTGAGAAGGCCGACATCTATACCATAATACGCTTCACCTTACACGCGTGCCAGTAAATCACTTCTGGCAAGAGCCACTGCACTGGTAATAAATACGGTTACGAGAATCATGGAGATTAGCAAAGAATGAAGTACAAAAACAGTATCCATAACCGACCCGCAAACGAGAAATTTATATTGGATTAAATCCGAAGACCGGAACGATTTTTAAATTAATGCATGATCTCCTCATTCTTCGAATCCCATTTATCTTTGTAAAAAACTTTAGACGGGATAATCTTATAAGTGGACTCTGTGATTATCGAAAATTTTTACACGTAGCAAGGTAATGGTCTTGTTGACAGAGATAACTACCATTCTTTTCATTCAGCTGTGGCATTAGCCAACTTGTCCAAGCTAATATTTCTAATGAAAAGAATATATCTACCATATCGGCAAAAGGAAACACATTAACCGTTTGCAACAGTAATAATAATAATAATAATAATAACTCTTTATTTATCAAGCTTCTTTTGAACTCATAAGATGAGTCAGGAAAATTATACAGAATGTCAAAATTGTTAAATTTTAAAAGTATTTAGTAATAAATTATTATCAAGAAATTTTAGTTCATTGCTTTGAAAATACTATTTCAGTGCAAGACGTTAATTTAAAATATTATGTTATTTGAGTACGGCAAAGAGCACACGAGGGCTATATGTCTAGGGAAGAGATGCCTTTCCAGGGAAACTGATTCGTATTACCGTTACATATGAGAAGAACCACTAAAAGTAATCATGCAGCTAGTCCATTCGTCTAGACTGAAACTGTGTCGAATACCCAGCTTTCAGCGGTCTTAAGTATTCAGCCACTAACGAGCTTGTTAATTCAAAGAAACTATTCAGAGTTATAAAAAGAACTGGCTAGCATTCTTTACTTTTTAATTCCTTAAAATAATACGTATAATTTTATGAAACCAATTTCAATGTTGTAAGTTAAACCCCTCTGCAAAAATGAAATCTAATTATTATACTATATGTGTAGCAAAAATGGTTTAATTAGTAAAATTCATCGTAATATAACAAATTAAAACCAACATTTCGTACTTTTAAGTGTATACTTCAGAGTTATTTGGGAAAGAGCTTGTTTGTTATTAGTCATTTTTACATGTCTCTCACTGGTTTCAAGATGTCCAGAAAAAATTCAGAAAGTAGCTGTAAAGTAAAAATTGCTTTTTGATTCCAATGCTTTTGCTTTAGATAAGACAGAAGTTAGCGCTAAATTTTTATCTGGGTATTTGAAAATATTTATTAAGCATATCTCTGCAAATTTTTCTTATAAATGTGCGGAAGATTTAGATTTTATATCACTAAGATCCATGAAATATTTTATTAAAAAGCGATTTTTTTAATCTCAAACAAATTTTAAATGTTAGGTTTTATACATATACCTTTCTTTTATCTTATCCTTTTTTTTTATTTTTCTTATTACCAGTCTCTAAATTGTCAAAATATATTCCTTAACTTCCTTACTTTACCGAATTTTGTAACTCATGTTTAAGTAAACTTAAATATTACTAAGCAAACTCTAAACCAGGTGTCAGCACAACAATTTTTTACAACGGGTCAGTTATAAATTTAAAAATTATATGATAGATGAATATAAAAAGAGTACTAAAATGTAAACATTATATGATTAACATAAATTATCTCTTTATCAACAAAATGAGCAAAATAAAACGTTATTAAAAATAACACAAATAAAACATTCAATAGAAGTACTACAAGAAAACAGTAAAAAAATTATTATAAGAAGAAACTTTAAAAAAGTTAATGAGAAGTTTGGAATTGCTACTCTGGAATCAATTGGTTTACATCTGCAGTTACAACCGACACAGCAGCTTGCATGCAGCTTTCTAATCGTCATCATTTAGCTCCCATCGGTTGTCTCTTTTAATTACTTTCATTGCTTGGAGACATAAATACACTTTCAAAAGTGTCATGCTTTAAATTTCGAAAATCATAAAACTTTCATAAAACATTCGGACATTTACATTCTGAAATTTATTCTGCAAATCAGTATTATTTTGTAAATCTACCAATTTCACCTGTAACACATTCGGAATCGTTTCCTCATCTATTTAAGTGGCGAGGAAAAAATATTAAAACTAAGAGAAGTTTTCCCGATTTAAACCGCGATTCAAATTTCGTTATTAATTTTTGTATTTGCTGGGCATAAGTTTTTGTTTCTGAAGGAGTTTCGTTTCCGAAGTATGGAAAATGTGACACTTTGCTTGACAACAGATGTTTGCTTCAAATTTTGAATTTCCTTTTAGTAGACTACCCAAAGACTTCAAATTCATCTAATTTTGACCTATACAAAGCCGATTCTGTGTATCTTCTTCACAGACTGCTATATTTCGAATTACTATTGTAGGTGTTTCTAGTACTGCCTTCGCCAACAGTGGTGCTAGTCACTGTCACGCATATTCTGCAGCAACAAAGTACAGTATTTGAAAGGGCGACAATACATGTGTCTTCCGCTGATGCTTTCGTTGATGATCTGAAAAATAGGTACTTGGCATCTAGCAAAGATTCTTCTTGAAGGAAAGAGAGTTCAAAATTCCTCCTTGTTTTGCCGAATGGATAAAAGTATTCTACTCTGCAAGGAACTGACTTTCTTCAAAAACGCAAAATCGTGTTAAATCAGGCTGAAAATAAACTGAACCTTTCTGATGAACCTCGATGAAAATATTGCTTTGTGAAATCCCATCAACCCAAAAGACTGGAAGAAACCCCAACTGATGTAACCAATTGCCAGCTATGAGAGAATGAAGAACAACAGTTCAGTACATCCCAATAGCTTGAAAATGATGCACTGCGTAACAAACATCAGAATTTCTTTAGGTATCATCAGAATTAAAGTAGAGGACGAAACCAATACATCATTTGAACAGTAAGACAGGAAATAGGCCCCTGTTTCAATTCCTCCATATCAGAGGAACCCAAGTAATAAAGATCTGTTGAAAAAGGAGCTTGAGTTTCTACTAAAACAAGATGCTATAAAAGAATATAAAAGCCCTATGCGTATCTTGTGGTTTTGATTCTCAAGTCGGAAGCAAAAGCGCGACTATGCATTGATTATCGCAAACTCAATGCTCAGACCGTTCCAGACATTTATCCTTTTACACGCATAGAGATTTATTGAATGAAGCAAAGCCAACAGGTTACATGTCAACTATTGAGGTTAGGTTATCATCAGGTGAAACTAACTGAAGAAGATCAAACCAAGACTGCATTTATTTGCGCCTTTGGTACATATCAATTTACCGGAATGGTCTTCGGACTGAGAAAAGGTCCAAGCAACTATTCTAGACTGACAGATAATTTCCGTTCCGGAGTGAATAACGTGCTTGCTTTGTCATATTTAGATTGTATCATCGTACTGTCCTTCACCTTCCATAAACAATTTTCTGACTTAGTTTTCAAACGTCTATCGTTGTTCAAACTCAATGCCAATTGAGAAACGTGTCACTTCTATTGTGAACAATTTAAACATTTGAGTCATTACACTACCAAGAACGTAATATTTGCTGATTCACAGAAGATTTCTATCAGAGCAGAAATGCCGCCCAAAACTGTCAAGCAAGTGCAATATTTCGTATAAACCTGCTCCTAGTATCGTCGATATACTCTAAATTTCTCTCAAACAGCCTAACTCCTGAGTGATTTAATGAAGAAGAAAGTGTGGAAGTGAGACGTGCAACAAGTAAATGCTTCCAGGAGCTGAAATCAACATTATTTAGCCCGCTGAGAAAGATAATGGAACGAAGCTTTTCTTCATTCGCACAGATAGTAGCAAGATATCCATCGCAGCAGTATTGCTCCAGAGAGAGAAAATGAAGAACACCCTATAGAAAATCACAACCGATTTGTCTCCTCTTCATAACGAAACTTCATACCATAGAAAAAGCAGCTCTACAAGAAGTATGGACATTAAACCAATTTAGAGGATTTTCACCTCTGAACTCCAATCATTGATGTGACTGATGTCTTTAAAGTCAGCAAATCGTAGGCGCGGAAGAGGAGTCTTATAAATTCAATCATACAATCTTATTATCAATTACATCCCTCGACGATTGAACGTTATAGCTGATCTATTATTTCACCCTGCTTATGAACAATCAAGAACATCGAGTCTGGTCTGCGCTGTCTCCGTCGGATTTCCTACTACTAGTCCTGAAGAATTACGCCAATTATAGCTGGAAGATAATGATCTTCGAACGATCATTGAAGCTTTTGAGAGTCCAGAGAAAGAGGTAGGTTGTGCAACTTGGACTGGAAGAGGATACATTATGAAGAGAGGAGTGTTATATTAATATTCTCCTGATACGCCAGAAGAAGAAGCACAGTTAGTTATACGTTAATAAAAATCAGCAGAAGTCTCGAAAGACTATCATGATTCGCTAATAGCAGGCTACTTCTGAAGAATCTGAAAGGACATTTTATTGAACAGGCAGAAATGTACTACTGCACAGGAATGAGAAATAATATAGCGGACTTCGTCAAAATCTATTTTGAATGCTCTCACAGTAAAACCTATAATCAAAAGCCGTCTAGGTTACTTCAAATTCCTGTCTCTGCACAGCGCTTTGAGACTTTCTCTGCTGAACGTTTCGGTCCTCTTACTGAAATACTAGCTGGTGAAAAATACATTTTTAATTATTATGCAAAATTGTACCACGATGTGGACAGAACTATTTGCTTTCGCGGAAGAAACGACCAGAGAATGTGTCACAATTCCACACAGTGCCAAGCACGCTATCATGTGCTTGTTTCGCGGTATTAATCCACTTAGAAATCGAAGATACATTGTAATCCTAGGAAAATCGACAATGATTCTTCGTGTTTCGTGCTGTGAAAAACTATGATAATCTCTAGATAGCTAAACACTAGCAGATCATGGCTCGAAAAACGTAACTGTTACAACATAATTGATTACTCATATTTTTACGCTCTGACTCTCTTAATAATCTTTACTCTTGCTTCCGGAATAAAAATGTTATAGACGATAAATCGTCATTACTTGGATCTGATAGAGTTGCAGAGCCATTAAGTTAATTGGAAGCAGGAGAGATGAAAAATATGCAACGCTTTCGCCGGAATCGACCTTCGCCGGACCTTTGGAATACGTGCCCAGCGTGCAGACCACCACACCACGAAGGCATTCCAAGAAGGTGGGAGAAATACCTTATAGAGTGACTTTCGTATCTTTTTCTAGTTGTCATTTAAGAAATCCCCCCGGGGGTTGACTCAGGGGAACGCCTGGGATGTACTGCTTAGGATCTGTACCTAGGCAATCTTAATCACGGGGTATATAATTTGACTTCACAGGACAAGAGCCCGAGTATTGTACTCAGGTTGGTTTAGGCTTGGCAGGAACCGTACTGATACTGTCGTGTCTGTTCCTTCGGCTGTGGTGGAACTATATAGAGGATTTGTCGACTGAGTTCCCGGGAGTTTGACCCCATTCAGTTCTCGTGGCGGGGACTGACAAAGTGGACAGAGCACCTTGACAAAGTGGACAGAGAACCTATCTACAATGTGGCTATGCCGATGGAGTGGTGCCCGGAGGCAAGGTGCCACAGATTTTTAATAGCAAAGTTTTTGTTCTGCCCAATGCTTCGTATAAGCCGGGCGGGGACTGCGGGGGGTTGCGCCCGCGAGAACGAAGTCTACGGAAATTGGTTATCCAAACTCTGAATGGGTCCCGTGTAATGAGGACCTGGGACGGAGGTTCTTCGTCTGGTGTGTCTGCCATTTAAGCAAAAGTGAATACAAGTAATTAAGGTATTCTCGTCTTGCGTGCTATTGTTAGCACATGCAACTAGCTACTAAAAGATCTGTAGTTCAGATTTGACATTTCGGTGAAATCAGAATCGATTTCTCCCGTTTACCGGCGGTGACAAGATTAAAAAAAAAGACACAAATAAATAGAATGAGTTCCACAAATTAGAAAACAAATGCGTACAAAATGGATAAAACATACCTGATAGGATGCTGCAGCAAAATAGAATAAAGCACACAGCTCCATTGGAAGCGAAGACACTTATTCTAGTCATTATGAAAGAAAGCAGTTCAACCAAAATAATTCCAAAAATCTGCAAAATAATTGTTTATTCGAATAATGAGAACTTGAAATTTTCATTCCTAAAATAGAAGGGTGACATAAATAATAATTTAACTATTTAAATTTCTACAGAGCTACATAAACTGATTGATTACAATAGCTTTATAGCTAATTAAAATTATGATAATAATCTGGAAGATCACTTGTTTAAATGAAAAGGAGATCGACAATATCTGCGAGTCTAATTTCTTTTCATTTAAGATTATTTCTAATAAACAAAATACCTGTAATTTTTAAACAAAAAATAAAAGTTTCTGCAGCAAATACGACAACCGCATTACTACAGAAAGAAATAGTGTTTTCACAACATTCATTGATATTAATTTACCTTAGATTCATTGATTAATTACAGGCTTAGATTGTAAGGACGTAGAAAATTATAAGATAACTTTAAACGTTTATTACTGAATATAAACTGGAGAGATTAAAATTAATACATCCTCTCGATTTCATTTAATTAAAACATGCTGTGTGACATCGATTCAGTAAAGGTATTTTAGTGTTAGGTAAATTTAGTTTATTATTATCAGGCTGAAGAACGTCGCAGTTTCAAAATTAGAGAATATTCCCAAATTTCATAACACGAATAGAGCTTCAGTCTTTACAAAAAACCGGAAATTTAACTGAACACTGTCTCTTGAGAGAACTGCAGCGGATAAACGAAGGTAGAGATTTTTATGTGTTTAAAACGAGAGCTCTTTTTCAAACTGTTTGACGTAATTTGGAGAAGCAAAACTAATGTGATTATGCAAGTACCCGCTAAATATTCTCGTAAACGGTTTATTGAGTTATAGGCAGGCAGCATTATTATAGTGCAAAGAAGATGAGACAAAACGCTACAAAATTTCAGAGAAAATGTCCGCAAAATATCCTCCATAAACAGCACTAAAATTGATAGCTCTATAGAAGCTTTATTAAGATTCAGATCAGAGCTACAGGAAAGCAACGATGTAATGTTAGAGTTTATTGCTGAATTAAAAGTTTTATTTGATTCGAGAATGGAAATATACCATGAATAATGAAATTCACCAAAATGGAAATATACCATGAATTCAAGAATGAAATTATTATACGTTTATACATATTGAAAATTTCTCTTCATATAGAATTCCTTATATGAACCCAAATTTCACTTCTATCTGACCATATGAATTCATTGTTATGATACAAAATTTGTTAATAATTCTGTAAATACAAACTCAATACTTCAAGAATTTTGCATGAGCTGAATTTCTGACGGTAGAAATCGAAAAAATAATCTTCCAGGTTATATTTGGTTTTTCCAGTTCGAAAATTAAGCTTCTAAAAACATGGCTTTCCTAATGTAACGCACGTAACTGTTTTGCGCACTTCAGTAATATTTTTGTAGCAGTCTAGTGTGAAAATAGAACCATATAGTTCTTGTTATTAAACAGAGTTTACCAGATTTTTAAAATACTCTCGGTCCGACAATTCTTAGGAAGAACAACATTTTGCTTGTGTCTCACTCATGCAATGCGCAAAATTGTTCTCGTACCAGTGTGACTTTCTTCTCTTTGCTCGGATAAAGAAAGCTCTCAGAAAGCAGTTCAGCGTGTAAAAGAAGCATTTTGGTAATGAGAATTGGGGGGGGGGAAGAGAGTATGTTTTTTTGCTTTGAATTATACTCCCTGTCATTAGTTCCAAAACAGTTTTTCTATATTTGCATCAGTGAGCAAAATGATACGGAAAGTGTATCGAAGCAGGTATAGAACCTTTGACTTAGCCTAAGTATGTAAATGTATCATTTAACAGCTTAAAAATTATTCCCATTATTTGTTAATACTTCTTACCATACAGGGTGTCCCATGAACATCTCCCAAATTCTGTACAGCCAGATTCTCTGCCAGTAATGCATAAGACATGCTCAAAGAACTGTACCGGCTCTGCCCATAATTTTCGAGCCATAATTTATGAACCTGTAAAGCCCATAATTCGCGAAAGAAAATTATAACGTCATATATCCTGTACACTGAAAAAAAGCTTTATTGGAAATATGAACGTCCCCATTTGCATATGTTTACACAGAAAGATGTTCAAAATGACCAATGTGCACATTCAGGCATTCATGCACGCGCCGTGGAATGCTTGACTGCACAGTTTGCAGTAGCGTGGTGTCCACCAAAGTATGCGCAGCATGAAGACAAGAGACTAAGTCTTTTTTATCAGTATTTGGCTCTCGACAGACCAATTCCTTCAGAAGACTCTAGGAAGAAATTCAAACATGGCAGATTTAGCGATCGTTGCGGCCACAAAACTGGACCCCCAACGTCCAATCCAGTGGTCTGGGCATTCCATATCCAAGCAATTACGTACAGGACGGCTAAAATGTTCAGGAGCTCCATCATGCTGGACTTATACGCAATATATTGCCAAGGGTATGTCATCTAGGAAATGTGATAATACATCAAGTATCAATATTCCGCAAGCCGCTTAAGCAGCAGATATGATACAATCATGCTTTGGCAAGTTTTTGCCTAGTTTTGATGCGTCTAATTTTTTCCAAGTTTTTATGCTTTGCCTAGCAAGTTTACACAAAATTATAATTTTGCTTTAGAACTCAAAACAAAAGCAAATTTTTTCATGCTCGCAGAAGTTCTTTTTTTGATTTAATGGCTAGAGTTAGCCTTCAAATATTTGGAAACGTTTTGCTTTAATTGTTAACTTAAAACCTTTAACTTTAATAGTCGACAATTTATCACAAGCAGGAAAGGTACGTATACTATGCATCTGCAAAGTTTTAAGACTAATTTTATTTTTACAGGTTTAAGCAAACTTGCTAAATTATTACTAACAGCATTTAAAAGTCTTGAATAACGATCATGCTGCTGAGTTTTCGTTTTAATTGGAAAATGATAATTTCCGAAAAAACTGTTTTTTGAAAGATAGACAGTGAATTTCATATTTTATGAAGACATTAATGGCAGAATTCTGAAAATATTTCGGCTCATTAGGCCTAAAGAAGTTCAATTTATTAACTGGTTTCTGCTGCACTGCTATGTGGAGTCACACAGTTACATTCTCTTCAAGCAGCTTCTGTTTGAAAAAACGTACCACTATCCCCCTTTCAATTTATGAGGTTTGGTCACCGCAAACTACTTTTTCTTCCTTAAAGTGAAGTAAAAAATGTCATTATCTTAATAGTACTGAAGAGGTTCAGAAAACGATACCCCGAGATTTAAACAGTATTCAAAGAGCTGAGCGCTTTACGACAGCAAGAAGCTGTATGAAAGTACCAACATTGCATAGCCTTGCAAAGAAAGTATACTAAAGACTTAGATGTAAGAATGTTGCTTTCTTCTACTTTTCGATTTTGCACAAACTTCGTTCTAAAACTTTGTAGACGCACTGTGCACATACGGCTTTTGACATGCATAAGGATGCCATCATGGGGGGTCTTTTCTATGATTCGTGTGCTTGAAGCTTAATTACGCTTAAAACTGCATATTAGTAATTTCCTACATTTATCACTCTAGCGGTAATATTTAAAATTGTATTGGTATATTATTTCAAAAGTCTTTTTTTTTTTTAATTCACGAGAGAAGAAATTTAAAAAACTTGTCTTTCTTGAAATGCGTTTTTATGAAGAATTTATTCTTTCAAAAATACATTTTTCATTTAGAATGATGTTCAATGTTTCTTTTTTCTGAAAGGCGCTATGCAGTGTTAAATTAATCTGAATTGTTATAAATAAAATTTTTAAGAAATATTACTTACGTTTAACAGAAATTGTTAATGTATTGTAGAAATTTCTTGGCCGCATTGCATAATAACAACGGAAATAATATCAGAATAATATGCAGTCCTTTGGGTTTTATTAACACAGGATTTTTATTCAAATTATATGCTCCCTCCCGCTCAAAACTTTCTAGTTTGCAATTTTACCTCTCTTCGTAATTAATAATGTAGCTCAGCAGTATTGTACCAACAGGTAATCTCTGAATCTCTTAGATCTGTTTACAAGGAAAAGTAAGAACGTTCTGTATTACACAATGGATTTGCCATATTACACAATATATTTACACAAGTGAACCAAAAATAAATTAAATTTTTAGCAGAACTCACCATTGATGAAACGTTAAGTAAACTTGCAGATACTATTTCTGGCTCAGGATAAGTCATTTCAATTCCATATTCAAAACCAACAACTAAATAACTCGTTAAGAAGAAGCTAGAAATTATAATACCCGAATTCAACATAAATTGAATTAAATTTAATATTTTATTTAATATATTTAACTTTTTATCTTAGATAGTTAACATTTTTTAAGATAAAAAAGAAGGTAAGCTAAAATAATAAGTGTAATAACAACAGTCACCTATTCTCTATTTTAAATATGGTTACTTCTCCTTACCATCCTAAAAATTGTAACTGTTTATAATAAATTGCTCTGAACGCATCATTTTAAAAGTAATCCGCGTCATATGATTCTTGTATAACGTTCCTGAATCAGATACTTACATAATGCTTCATATTATCATGATTTCAATTTGGGAATCGAATTTTCTTATTAACAAATAGAGCTTAATCTGAATTTCAGAGAAATTCATTATGAACAAAGATATTATTTTAGACATGGCGCATTGCGTATTCATATTCTTCCTAGCTCTCCTGAAAACATGCTGCTGTTCAACCTCACTTTTATCAATTGTATCGTCATAACGTAGAAAGATCCAAATCTGCTCGAAAGCAGGAATGCAGGGTTCCCACTGCTCTTTGTAATTCAAGTTTCGAATGTATTTCTCAGCAAAGGGAAACAAAAAATGTTGAATCGGGGTGACTGCTTCTTTTGATTTACACTATGTAATAATTTCTCAAAATGTTCTTCGCAGAAGCGAGGATTACAAACTATGGATCTTGCTGCAGCAAAATTAAAATTCCTGGTCCAAATGCTACATTTTACGCTATATAGAAAGAATAATATTATAATTTTAATTTTTTCATATGTTTCGTTTACTAATTCAATCAATATTAACTTTACTGCAAGTTTTATTCTACGCTATACAAAAAAATGTATTTTTATGCTATTTTGCAATCATTTAGAAAGAAATTTAGGTGGAAGTTTGTTTCAATTTTCACACATGAATTGTAAATTGCTCAGAAAGGATGTAAATTTAAAATAGTATTCTTACCCGACTAAGCCGATGGTGATAAATTGAACCCACATCGTGTTTTCAAGAAGTAAACCAGTAAAGCACAAGTAAGATAAAAGCGATGCTACGCATATTCCGGCCGAGGTTTCTCTAAGTTAAAAAAGATCACAAAAACACTAAAAGGAATACTTAATAAAGTAAAAAAATACTATTGATTATACAAAAAGAAATTAGTATTGTTTCACTGTCATTAAGACATTAATATTTGTAGTACTGCACTTCTTAATTAACTTGACTTGGTAGCTACTAAGACAGACAAGCTACTTATCGCCCCATCTATTGGAAAACTATGAGTTCAGAGGAAGGTTTAAACAAATATTTTTATTTAAAACTTTAAACGTAACAAATGCACGGCTTATTATTTCATTTCCACAGCCTGCGGAATTTCAGTTAACATGAATTGTGAAAATTAACATATTCTTAATCAACGCTAGAGATCTGCACATGCAAAAGCTTAAATAAATAGCTTGGGCTTAACTCTAACTAATTGCGAGTGTAGCTCGACTGCAGAACGGCTAACGTTGGTTGCTCTTAGAACTGGGCATGAGGAAATGGTATAGAAGTCAAATATAACTCTAACATTGAGAGCTTTGCTCCTACATACATGTATCTCATTAACATCGCACTGAGAACATAAGACAAGTAGAAGTAACGCTAAAGTTCAAATAATAGTATGATGGATTAATGAGCCTTCAAAAGTTTCATATTGTTAAGAACATTCCCATAAGAACATTGTTGAAAACATTTTCACTGGTAAGAACATTCCAATCCTGTAAACTCGGAAGAATTTTCGGAATTGCGCATTCCTTTCTTGAATGTTGTTAGTAAAAACGTTTCAAATACTCATTCTTTTTTCAGGGCACTAATGTTAAAAGAATTATCTTGGTAGAATTATTAAATTCATAACGGAAACGACGTCCACTGTTAACCCAAAATTACAGTTAATTCCGTGAAAGTTAATATTAGAAAATATATTTCAAACTTTTCTTTAATTGGTGCGGCAATAATTAATTTACAGATTTTAAGAAGAATTTGTGAATTGTTACAAATCCTTATGTTAAATTCCTCTGTAGCTTTATACTTCAATAAGCCAATAAATGGCGATATGCAAGAAACTAATTAAGTGTGCTGTGAAAATTCGATGAAGAATGATAAAAAAAGTTCACTTATTTAATCAACGTTAAGTGCAAGAAGAAACACTAATAATAAGGGTACGTGAAAAATTATCTATTTTTGGAAGTTGGCATTCTTACATGCGCATGTTTAAGATAATAATTGAATACTTTTTTACAAAAATACTGCACAATCCGATAAACAGTTTTACTCAACTAAATATTTTTATTTATTCCAGACACTGGCTTTGAAACATTTTAATAATGTCATACGTTAGAAAATGTAGATAGAAATGATGCCATATTCGAGCATAAAGGATCAAACATCTTTCTAAACCGGAGATGAATTACTGTGTCCTAGGAAAGAACTGCTCGCCATAGAACACTTCCAAAAGTGCAGAAAATTCCTGCTGCACACAGATCATGCTTTGTTGACCTGGCTCGTAAATGAATGTCAAGGATTCCGAGGGCCAAACAGCCAGATGGATTCAGAGACACCCGGGAAATGATATCAAAATCCGTCATCGGGAAGGATCATTAAACGGAAACGCCGACGCTCTGTCTATAAGACGTTGCCCAGAAAGCTGCTGATATTGTTCCAAGGTCGACGCGAAGCATGAGCTAGTCAGTCTGGTCGTACGCCAAGTTGGAACTTCAGCATGTCTGACCGAGACCCATGAGTTACTAAGAAGTCTAGGAAGGCCATTTGGAAGGCGGCGACATTAAACCCATACTCAATTTAATGGAGTCCTCAAACAGAAAACCTACCTTTCAGGACATTTCGATCTATAAACCCCCGACAAAACAATGGCACTCACCCCATATTCTAAAGGATGTCTTGTACTGAAAGCTAGAGTCGGATGATGAAAAGGGAATTTTCCCAAAATCCCGGAGTTCGAAGGTTCTTTAAGAAGTATAGAGTAGTCCGAGGCCAATTCGCATTAATGAAGACTTCGCATAGAGTTCGAGAGCGCTTCGATCCTGGCAGCACATAAGCTAGATCTGTGTGATGTGACTTAATTTTTCCTTTCGCGCAGTCGCACAGGTACATTCTCCATATCAATATGCAACACACTACATCACTACGGTTATTACTCCTTTGCATTCTCTCCAAACCACAATGTGAAATGGACTGTAGCACAGCGAGGAAAGTGGAACTACACCTGTCTAACTGTCAAGTACGACAACAAAGTACTGTTGTTCCCGTCTTACTTTACCTGGAGTAAAGCAAGGGTTGACGTGAAAAATGGTAATAATCTTGTGATGTCTGTGCGGATGGGAAAGGACCAGAAAAACACAACCGAGGGAAGTTGCAACATTGCAGAGTAAAGGCGCCTTTTGAACTTTGTGTATAAATTGCAACGGTGACCATCCAGTATTTTCCCGTTCATGTCCAAAATGGAAAATAGAAAAGGAAGTACAGACGGCAAAAGTCATTATGGACATCTCATATGCTGAAGCCAGAATATGAGAGTTCAAAGCACACAGCTTCAGTCAAATAAATCATATGGCAATGCTGTTAAATCAACTCGTACCACTGCCACCCAAACTTCAATAAATACTCAGACTCCACCAAATAAAACCCAGCAGCCTGCAAGCAAGAAAAAGGAAAGTCTAACACTCGTCATACAAAACAGAGAAATAGTTATTCCAAGCAAACCAAAAAAATTCCCCTCCAAAAACTGTTAACAAAAATAGAAGCCCCAGCAATAGATTGGAAGTTCCCAAACATCTGCTGGCCACCTCGTCTCATGGAACAATCGTGGATTCCACCGAAAGTTCCTTGACATCAAAGATATGATCAATGCTTATCATCCTGTGTCCTTGGCAATACAGGAGACAAACCTGAATCCAGATCAACATGCCAAAAGTTCGGAGGTTTTTCTTTCGTCAGGAAGGATAACCTTGCAGTTGAGCGTGCCAGTGGAGGTGTAGGACTCGTCACTTCAGTGGACTGTCCATTACTAAGTTCCTTTCCTTTGACGACTTTTCCTTTCCTTTGAAATGCTTTTAAATTCTTTCTTTTTGGTTCAGCCGAAAGTTAAGCGTGTTATTTTTAAAATATTCAGTTAGAGTTCGATTACAGGAAATATCCATCAATTGTTCTTTTGCTTCAGGGAATTTTTGAATTTAATTGTTAAAAATACTTTGTTCTTTGCGTACCACCCATTTTTCTCTCTCGTACCACCAGTGGTACGCGTACTGCCGGTTGAGAATAAATAATGGTTTATTCCAGAGCTGTAAAATGTTTCTGAAAAATAAATTGCATCAAGCTTTTATCGATTCTTGTGTACATTCAATCTATTACAAAACCCGTACGAACGTATTAACATATTTTAGAACTGGTATAAATGAACTAAATTATTTATTAAAATATTTAACAAAATTGAAATAAATTTATTAAGAATATTAATACAATAATAAATTTTGATAATTCTTAAGTATAAGAATTATCAAATTTATTATTGTATTAATATCTTAAATAAGTTAGAACTTTTATTATTGTATTAATTATCTTAAATAAGTTAGAACTGTTACGTTTTTTAGGAAGTTAAAGACTTTACAATAAAATCCCTTTCATGACATCTAAGAATGCTATTTTTTTCCCCTGAAACAAAGAATGTGAAGAATTCAGTATACAACGAAGTTTTTACTAGAATAGGTTATTTTTTAAAATTATTTGCTATATGTGACTTCCTTCTGTTGGAAAGCATTATTGGATCCGTCAATAACTTCCAGCTGGCCATTTAGTTAACTATATAAAACTGGCTTTTAAATAATACAAGGCCAACGCAATTGAGATGGTAAAATGCCATTGTACAGCTCAAATAACTGTATTAGCCAGCACGAAAAAGCATTATTTTAATATAAAAATAATTTTTCTTACTTGAACTTGTGAGTCCAATCCAGAATGAATCCTGCAGTGACTGATCCAGCAAGCCCACTCACAATGGCTACGGTACCCATTATACCAATTTCTTTCTGCTTCTTCTATTTTTGAAGTGAATATAATAAAACATTCCTTTCAGGATAATGAAGTGTAATAATACAATAATAATTATAGAGATAAATTATAGGCTTAACTCTGAGATATAGTTTGTGCATTTGCAGACCATTTAACATGCATTCCGGATTCGAAGATAGGCGGGGGGAACAGTCTCACCGTACGTTTCGGTTTCGTGGTTTTCTTCGTGAGCTGCTATTTTCCCTTAGATTATTCTTACGAACGAGTCCCTCTTGCTAGGGCCCACCAGCGGCTAAGTGCAAAGTCACTGAACACTGGTAGTTCGACCTGGGCTTGATTGCAAGTGCATGGGCGTTTTCGTAGTTTTCCCCGTGTTTAATATGGATACGAACCAGATCCCTTAGAACGTTCTCCACGAAGGCTTCTCTCCCTTTAAGCAAATAGCCCTCGTAAACTTTGCCGTAATCAAATAAACCAAACCAAACTCTCCCACTAGGTAGGTTACTCTTGCGCGCTTTGCCATATTCAAATAATTTGTAAAAAGATGTAATTACGAAGTAATTATGCAATTAATAAATAATGGTTTATCTTATTATTACAATAACAATGTAATTAGATTACACAATTAAGTTAACAAATTGTCATTATGTAATTATTAACTGTGGCTTATTCTGCATTTTAAGTGATCAGTATACTTGGCATCCCAAATAAATAAAACATATTAGTAATTCAGGTTAAATTAGGTTAAAATATAGAATAGGGGAAAAACCCAAGAGTATCTGCTTAAAAGAAGGGGTGCTTTCATGGAAGATTTACTGAGGTAAACTGACTCGTATTCACGTTACACAGAGAGAAATCATGACCACAAGCCATGCAGTTAGCATGTTCGTATGGGTACGAGCCGAAAGCAGGCCGAACTACCAGCATTCATTCAGCGACCTTAAACATTCGATTACTGGTAGAGTTTAGTAATTCAGAGCAAAATATATAGTTTCATTTAGCTGTTGTAGACTGCAGGAACAACTTAGATGATATTATCCGAAAACCAGTGCCCTGGACGACAGGTTGCCTATGACGCATATGCTTGGAATGGGCAGGACTAATTACAATGGCAAGGTAATTGGAACTATTTTTTGCTCAACTATGATTAACAGTGAAAAAAGAAGTTTAACATTATTGATATTTTTATGAATATTTTTGCTAATACTTATCTCAAGTTAATTTATTTGAAAAAAAAACTAACTGCTTTCTTTTCATGTAATAATAATAAGTTCACCTACTTTCTACAACTGCAGTTCTGTTAACTTCCGCAAGTATTTGTGATTCTCGATATGAAGAAACCATGAACTGCGAAAAAAGTTTGCAAATCGCAAGGTCGCATAGAGAATTGACAGTAAAAAATGGAAACGTTTTGGCACCAAAAGCCGGTAGTTCGTAAGACGTTTTCAAGAACATGTAATTTGCAAATAAGATTGGTTTGGTTTATTTAATTATGGCAAAGCACACTAGGGCTATATGCCTAAGGGGAGGGATGCTTTAGTGGAGGACTTTCTAAGGGAAACTGGCTCGTATACACGTTACACATGGGGAAAACCACGAAAACGCCCATGTAGCCAGCCCGTTCACGGGATTCGAACCTCGGACCGAACTACCAGTGTTCAGCGACTTTACCGCTCGGCCGCTGGTGGGCCTAATTTGCAAATAAGAAGTTGCATGTGTTGATATCGTATAAAACTTAAGTGTTAATTATTCACCTAACCAACTCCTGAATGTTATAAAAGTTTACATGGAAAGTATTCAGAAAATAACTCGTCAGTCGCATTTTTAAAAGAATTTGCGAACTTATTTAGGATGAACATTTCTCTTCTCATTCAAAATCTCATGTCGAGATTCGCTTCTTCCTGCCTTTTATTAAGCTTTATTAAATAACGGTTCTTGAAGTAAAAACCGTAGGTTCTTTAAAATAAACAATTTCATTTTTCACTTATTAACAACTCCAATTAAGCTTTCTCAATTCACAAAGTATCAGCTGTTCCTTGCAAGTATTCAACCAATTACATTCTAGATAAGAAGTTTTACAAAACACTTACTATCTTCATTTATTTATATCTTCATTGGCTGCAAAAATCTTTCATTAAAAATTTACAGCTACACATAAAATCTTTCTAGAAAAAGGAAATTTGCGTGGGTCTCAAACTTCAGTATACTTTTCATAATGAGATTATTCAGTGCATTCTATTTATGTGATACTGATGTGGAACACATATAATAATAATTGCTAAAATATATCTGAAACTTAAGCAATTATTTGATTAGGAATTTTAGCAATGTTTTCGCCATATTAAGTTTCTAACATGCACAAGAAATTGGCTTCCCAATAAGCTTGCGCCCTGGTTTAACCGACCATCCTGCCTATTATTTAATCCGGCAACATATACATTATATTTAAAAAAAGTTATATAGATTTTAAAAATGATGACTTCTCTGTGCCTGAAATTCTATGTATATTGATGCTACGTTTTACTATCTTCGTTTCAAAAATTAAAATTAGAAATGCGAATCAATGATATTGTTTTCAAAGTTTATAATCAGAAAACACTTTGCAGAAGATTGAATTGTAGAGTGAAAATTAAGTTTTATTAGATATAATTAATTTTTAATGAAGTAAAACAAGTACTCAGGTAATTTTAAAATAGAAAATAAAATAATGTCTTCATACTTACAGGAAAATAAAAAATAACTATTTCATTCAGCACTGTTCCAAGAACAAAATAGATAGAAACCGCCAAACCTGTAAATGTGAAGTCCAGTTTTCATACATTTATATTATATACAAGTGTATTAATGGAATTGAACTAACTAAGTGACTTTTATTGCATTGTTACATAATAATGCTTTAATAACAAGCTTAGATGAGCCTTCTAGTTAAAATCTTATATTGATGACCTCATAATGAAATGATTTTAGTAGAAAAAGTTACAAAGTTGTTCAAGAATCAGTTTCTCGTTTGCTCTATATTGTTTTAAAAATGTTCGTTTTTCCAGAAACTAATTGTATTTACATTGGCTACATAACAAGGATATAATTAAACAACGAAATGTTATGAAGGAAAATAATTACACGATGAGAATTAAAACAGGATAAGAAATTTTGCCTTAAACACAAATAAGTATCATTTATTAATAGAGCTTCGTTTAAACGAAAAGTGTGGATAAAAATTTAAGTTAATCGGGAAGTATAAAAATGAGTTTTCTCTAATTGTTAAAAATCAGTTTTTTTCATTGTTTCATTTTTAACGGTAAATATCTATTTTGAGTATTTTTCGGTTAACCCTTTTCGACACAGTGTGTCCGGTCTGGACACACCTAAAACTTCCCTTCTGTACGCACAGAAAAATTGAATGAAAAAGGATTTATAGGTTACTATAGGTTACTCTGAACCTTCTTTATTTATAGTAGATGGCAGCTCAACACAAACCAGTCCATATATTTTAGCCATGTTTAGTTTTTTAAGACCCTCATTTTTCAAAAAAATCTTTCAGATTATTTTTATGGTATAAAAGGAATTGTTTGAAAAGAAATTTCTATGTTATTTTTTTGGCTATATGCTAATCTCCTTATTCTATAATAGTTCTAAATTTTTACCTTGAAATCTTGCCTAAAATCAACTGAGATTATCGGTTGCCCAGACCGGGCTCACCGATAATGTAGGACAACTGAGTTCTGTATTCTTTGTTTCTCCGCATCTCATCGGTCAGTTCATTGACAAGAATGCTCTTTACAACACTCTTTACGAAGCTCTATTCAATCAGTGTGCCCTCTTCCGGCACACCCACAGAAATAAACGATAAGTGTTATCTTCACAAATTACACTTCTAGGCCTAATTAGACTGCCTACCTTTTTTTTTTTTTTTTAATCAAAACTCCGACTTTAAAAGGTAGCGTGGCGGAAAGGCTTAACGAGATGCCACCTGACGTCGAACGTAAATCATGACGCGAATTCTAACTAGAGATGGAATGGCAACCTTAACGATACTGCTTCGTGACGAGAACGGCTGTTTTATTAAATGCAAAATATGTACCCTCCCTTAAAAAAAAAAAGGGGGGGGCAGATATAGAAGTTTACAAATAATAATGCATATGAACTTCCAAACCGACTATTGTATAGTCATTAATTCACTTATTCTTAGTTGCATTTGACGAAATTCTACCAAAAGCAATTCTTGTCACCAGAAATAAACAAATCCAGTTGTTATTACTTATGCTCACTTGTCTGACTTAGTCAGCCCAAGCTCAAGAAATTCCTCTTGGCAAGAAGCGCAAGATTACGCCTGTCGTTGGCAAGAGCCTTGGATACCTTACAGGTGACTCGCTCCCAATTTTGAAGGAGAGCAACCCGGGGCGGGTCCGAAGGTCTCCCACCCCTCTCATCTTCCACCAAACTATACGAGAGGACTTTTGGCTCCGCGCATATTTAGTGTGCCGCCACGCCGCACCGACACTATACATTTACAAACATCCATGCCTTCTCCGGGTTTCAAATCCGGGCCCTTCGGCACGGCAGTGAGCGACGTTAACCATTACGCAAAACCAGTAGCTATAAGAAAAAAAAAGCACGAATCTTCGAAACAGCATCAGCTTCAACTTTTCTTCTCGCTGCACGATTTCGGTGCATCTGTAACAGTAAAATATTGTTTCACACTTTTTATTTTATAACAGAGTATTTTATGTAACAAAATATTTTATTAAACAGAGTATAATTGTTACTATTTACTCTCTTCGAAGAAGTGAATTACGATTGTCGATCATTTGGCAACTACTTAATCATGTAATCTGCAATCAATTAAAAAATTAATACCTCCTCCCCCTCCCCCCGCCCAAAAAGAAAGAAAGAAAATAAAAGAAATAAGAAAAATCAGAGGCAACATTACTAAATCGATGTCCACTGATTCTAGAGACGTTACTTCATGTCAACGAAAAGTTTCCAATTCTGAAATGAAATCAATGATTATGGAAATAGTGGACCGGGAAATAAATCTCTGTTCAGAGGATGATTTAAAAGATCTATGTTCATTGATGGATTATGTCAGTTAGTTCTTCCCCTTAGATTAATGAATGCTTGAGTAATCTTAAATTACCAAATGTTGAAACATCAAAGATACGAAAATATTATGCTTCGCATCTTAAGTAAATATAATTATTTTTGGAGGAAAGGAAGGAATCAGTGTCTGGGCAATGATATAGATGTTCTCCAGGATCATGACTCCAGGAGAAAATAGTCTCTGAAACTAGGAACTTAGAATTAGTTAAATGACATTATTAACTTTATTAACTTCATATTTTTATAACTTCCCATAATATACAAGATTCTTTATAGCATAAAAAGTTGGTAAATAATAATTGTAATTAAAATAAAATTTTGAAATCTTTCTTTTTTTTTTTTTTTTTTTTTTGTGTGTGTGTCTACAAATTTACATTTATTCATTAATTCTTTACCCGATTTGAATAAAAATCAAAACTACGAAAGGACCATTTAGAAGCTATTATAAATAATATTATGGTTCAAAAAGCAGCGCAAAAAAATGAATAATTCCATAAGTGCAGCGCGCTAGTCAAAGATCGCCAATATGAAAGAGTCGGAATCTAGCACATACGGGGAGCTCCTTTGTGCTAGGGCTAGAAAATTCCGCTGGCACGAAACAGGCTCTGTCTTCAATGGCAACGCCTTCTCCCTCACCGCACTTCTGATTCCGAACCATAGATGTCGCCACGAGCAAAGCATCCCCTAAAACACCAAAAGCACCGAACACCAGGCGAGCAATGAATCATGTCGCTGTGTACACTTCTATAGGAGGATAATATTTTGATCTAAAATATAGGATACAATAAATATGATGCATTCAAAGGGCTGAAACAGAAATAGAGTGAGTAAATTAGATCACACATTATTTAGAATAATATAGATAGGCAAATATAATAAAATACTAATAAATTTATTATCATATATGTTTTTGTTCAGCAGGTCAAGAACTACTGGTATTTATTTCTTAATACTCAGTTTTTAGGTTTTATATAAGAGCGACAAGTTTGCAGAAATTAACGATGATTTGCAACTACACAAGTAGGTTTATTGAATTCAATGAGAAGTAAAATGGGTTTATTAAAAATTAACCTCATTTAACAGACAGATTCAGAGAGCTTAGAGACCACTTTATATTTTAAAGTTCAAAAGAATGTTCTGCGAACCATGCTTCATTGATAGTAATACAGCGCCTAGCTCATTGTCCAGTTTAAACAAACCGCCCCTTCAGAATATACGAAGGCCATGTGCCCGATCTGGCAATCAATTTCAAAGAACATTATTTAAGAACTTCAGAAATTGGTAGGTTTAACTCTTTCGCATCGGTAGAGTTCAAAATCTGTTTTAGTCAAACACCTAAAAACGCCCATATGTATGTACTTTTGTTGGAATGGATTTCTTTCACTCATGCTAAGTAGAATGCTACCCCCAGCCCTACCAATAACGATAACTTCTCTCTTAGGATCTTCACGCGCATTTACCACTGTGTGCCTTTTTCCCTTAGGACAGAATTGTAACTTCGGGCATCAATAGCTAAACATTGATGCTAAAAAAAAGAGAAGGAAGGCGCATTCAAATAATAGAACTACTTTTAGTCGCTTCAAAAAATGATTGGCATGCCATTTAACAAAACTCTTAGCAATGAGCCTTGCATGAACGCAATGGGGTAAATAAAGAACCAGGTAGAAAATAATTCAGGCGTTTGGGCGACCTGCCGATGTCTGAATTTTCGGGCGACTTCGAAGCGAAAGAGTAAATGCGTTTTCATTTGAAACCTTTTCACCTAAAATTCCTTTGAATAAAATCTACAAGATAAAATGTGTCATTATTGATGTTGATATAGTATACGTCTGGAAGCCCGGAGAATAGAAAATGAAATTCTACCGACTAAATGATAATGTGCCGAATTTCAGCCATCAGGCAGTTCCCACTTTTGATGATATCAACAAGACATAGAGCATAATGTCCAATAATATGCATTACACAACTGGCACGACTAGGATGTTAATATCCGTAGCCTTAGTCGTAATATCCATTCTCTGACAGTGCGTGAGATGCCACTGTTTTCTTACTGGGTTGTCAATCATATATTCATCTACCTCAGGTGAAAATGTAATACAATGGCATTGACAGCTTAAATTTTCGCCACTTCAGAATGAAATGAACCAATCCAACTTGCACCAAAATGTTTTTCAATGTTATGATGGTGGCCGCGTTTTCATTGATTGTTAATTTTTGGGAAAATATGCATGTTCGTCTAATTGCAGTTCATTTAAGAACTTTCTTTTCCAATCGAATGATAATCAATACTTCTCTGTTTCAATTTCAGGTGATTCAAGAAAAAACATCAGATTTAAATATTTACTGTTTTAAAAAGAAACAAAATACAGTAATAATTATTACAAGAAAATAAAGTAGAACATAAGAACAACAGATGGAGCTAGTTTAACATTTAGAAAGTTCTTTTAGAGAAAAGGAGAAAATGACATACAGACAATAGAAAAATCTTTGCATTTTCTACCTATGATTTTTGTGAAGTCAGTCGAATGCAGCAGAAGAGACAATTTGTTTTTAAAATAGCTGGCCTCCTAGATCTCCATACTTTACCCCTTATGAATTATTTTCTTTCGGAGGTAGATAAAAGATCTTATGTTTTCGCCACTTAAACCCACAGGCTTAGACAAACATAAAAAATGCTTTTCTACTTCAAACAAACAAAATAAAGCGCTATTATTGATAAAATGAGGTTTGTTTGGCAGGGATTTTCAAAACTCCATGTAAAGTATAAAGTCTACGAAACTAAAAAAAAAAAAATATTGAATATCTATGAATAAAAACCTAATATTTATTCTTTACATTCATATATTACTTACAATAAAATTGCTAAAAATTTGAGTTTGAACGATTCTTGCTGTATTACCCTTCATTGTGGTCATTCAGTTTATTATAACTTATACATTATTTTTAATGAATGTCTTGCATTTATCATAGATTTAAACCGAAGAATTTTTAATTGGATAACTATTAATTTTAAATGTCATTTATTCATTATCGGGACTAAAATTAGAAGTAGATATAACACATCAACTAGTGTTTTTATCTATAGTTACCTATAGGTAAAAAATACAGTAATGCTATAAGTATAATATTATCTAGTTATAATTTTTATTTCAGGGAAACTATGGATAAAAAGCGCGGGATAATGTGTTATACCCCTTATTTTTAATCCTATACTACTACAAGTAAAAAAGTAGTTAACACTTTTTTTTTTAATACTATAAGTAA